TGGTCCACAGGGGGAGCCACAGCGATCGGTCGCATTTTAGCCATTTTGAAGCATTTTTCTGTTGTTATAGCGCCACCCAGTTGCCAATTAGAGTTAAATTTCTCCAGTCACCTTGAGGCGTCCTGTTCTACATATCTACCAAGTTTAGTAAAAATCCATATGGCGGTTAGGCCTAGATAAGAAATGAGCTCTCTAGCGCCCCCATTTTGTTTGATGGGGTCAATAATGGAGGGGTCCCCTCAGATTATGTGTGGTCATATGCCTACAAAGTTGCGTGGTGATGGGTGAAACCCTTGAGATGTTATACACCTTTATGTGATGAGCCACGCCCTCCGCAATATTCATTGCCTTATAGAAGCTCAGTTTTAGTAAGTTTTCCAACTTTTGCCAAGAGGGAACTTTAGATATTGGTCCCTAGATTATGTTCACCCAGTTTCATGCAGATCGCTCAAACTTCCTAGGAAGAGATCCATTTGAAGTGTTTTTCAAAAAATTCAAAATGGCGGAAAATCGTTAAAAGTTATGGGTTCTTTTGACATTTCAATCGGTTGCTATAGCGCCCCCCTTTGGCCAATTGATGTAATATTGCTTCATTCACATCCTCCCATGACCCTCTACCACTGTGCCAAATTTCACATGGATTGACCAAGTCAGTGAGGAGAAAAACGTGGAACACAGACACACACACAGAGTTTTCGTCATTATATAGTAAGATAATCTTGTTTCCATAATTCTGGGATATCTTTTTAATTTACAAATATATTGATAAATACACAGTTTTGACCCGACACACAGTAAGTATTAGTTAACATATCAATGACACCTGCCACCTGTACAGAAGCTTGTTTTATGTTGTTTAGCTCATATTTAATCTGCTTCCTGTTTTATTTTGTAGGTTCTCTCCTCATGTGTCGTGTCTGGTTTTACTTCCTGTCTTTGTGTGTTTTCCCGCCTGTTTTCTGCCACACCTGTCTCGTTAGTCCTTCCCTGTTCCCTGAGTCTTCCCTTCACACCTGTTCTGTATCAGTCTCGCCTGCTCCACCCTTGTCTTCCTCCTTCAGCTGCGTCTCGTCCTTGTGATTAGTCTTCTGTGCATGTATACCTGTGTGTTTCCCTTTGTCCTGTGTCAGTCTGTGTATCTTATGGTTGGAGATATTTAGTAAAATGAAGGTCATGTGGACAGAATTTCTTTCTTTAAACTAAGACGGCAACCATTTTCATAAATATCTGTATATACATGCAGACAAGTCCTAATACTTCCTGACCTGAAAGAAGGAAGACAGGAGAACCAAGGAGAAAATCTCTGTGTGAACTGATTTATATCTGACAGGTTATGATTGCTCTTTTGTGTCAGCAAACATTGTTCATACTTCCAGCTTTCATCAACATGACAATGACTAGGAACGCAGCCGGCCAAGACTAATCTAGCAACTAAAGGCCATAAAACCACAAGGGAGCTGCAGCGGGTTTTGACATTTCTAAGAGAGGACGCGGTGCACAGAGGACATCTGAGAAATGTTGTTCTGCAGTGACACAATTAGTCAGACCCTCATTCTCAAGTTCTGAGATTCTTGTGGTGCTTTTTTGTGCAATAGAAATTTAAAAAAGTCCATAATTCGGCTAGTTGTGGATCGACTTATGAAAGCTGTGCAGCCAGACAGTGGGATTGTTCAGTTTGGGTGATGCAGCTGGTGTTGTTTGCAATTTTTGGGGGGGTTAAAATCAGATTTCCTAACTATGAGGCCACCTCTGCTTTTTGGTTTCATTTGCATAGTTTGACGAGCTTACAGCAGGGCCAGAAATCCTCATCAAATCCCCTTATGCAACCATTAAAAGCACAGCGATTCCGCTAAATTCCTGCAAAATGAAAAGACCCTCCTGTTTGTCAAAAAGGGTGCTTCACGGAGAGGGCGGGAGGAGAGCAATAACAGGTTTATGATTTCTTTTTACAGTACGAGTGTTATGGAAGAGCCGGATTACAGTGATGCAATTAGCAAACGCCTAAATTTGGCCTGCTATTAATAAACATTCCTGGTTGGATGAAGCATTGAAAGGATAATCAGATTACAGATGCAGCCATTTTGGTTCACATCCGGTTGGTTTTTAGAGACAAGGTGATCAAAAGACAAATGTGATCATTTCACTGACTGTTCAATGATTTGATTGCGTAATGCGCAAACGCATTTCAAACTGAGGTGAGTTGAGGTGAGGTAGTGGGCTTAAAGCTCAGCGTACACAACCCTCTCAGCAGGATATTATCATATTGAGAATCTGCAGGTAACAGTGATGAGGAAGATCTGTAACTTTAAAACTGGAGGAATCTTCAGAGGAGTCTTCTGTGTACCTAAAATATCGACAATCCTGCACAAAAAAGTTGCAGAAAATCCAAATACTGATCTGTTTTTTATAGCTCTCAGTTGGATGCATAGAGGGCATTTTCTCCTATGAAATAAGAGAAGCAATTTTCGAACACATTTTGATCCACTTTATCTTCAAGGAATACTTCACCCCCAAAATGACAATTTATGTATCAGCCGAAACAGGCAGGCCGGTGGCTATGGATTAAGAGGAAAGACACTGCTCGGGCCTCGAAATACCCCTCACAACAGCAGGGTTCAAGGGAGTAAAAGCAGAGGGGGGGCGCACCTGGGGCGCTAGGAGGTGTTGTGGGTCTATCATCGAAACAGCAGTGAATAAGATAAGCCAAATCAAGCTATTCATCTCCCTGAACCTCTCTTACTTTTCTATCTACCTTAGCTCTTTCCTACTTTTCTATAAATCTAACCGTAACTCTTTGGCTCCAACTTAGAAAGCCCCAGACAGCACTATCACTCCCACTCACAGTCTCAGTATGTGCATTAAGGGATTGAAACATCTCGTCCTAAACTGAGCTGGTAGCCATTACTCACCCCGTGTTACCCTTATGTCTTCATTCATCAAGAATTACCACCATTTTTGGATTCTTTGTACCCCGTGGAGGCGTACAAGAAAGTTTTCTTCTTGAATCAAGTGTTCCTTTAAACTGACTGAATATATGGCTGTCACTCCAAATGGGTATGTATTTAATTTTTGCATTCATGTGCTATGGAAGCAGAAATGCAACCCCACACGTGTCAGCTTAAATTAAAAGAATAATAACAGAAAAATAACAGCAGCTAAAACAGCTTAAAAATAGGGGGAAAATACATACAAACGTGCTGTTGGTCAGAATGACTTCCGTCTCGTTGGAGTCAAAGTTGAACTTGATCACGTGACCGTCGCGGTTCCTGTACACCACCTCTGAATCTGAGAGAGCAAACACACAAACATTCATGGCAGCAGATAAACACAAACAGCAGCATGAAGAAGAACTGAACTGACCTGTGAAAAATATAAAAGCAAAGGTGAAGTAAGATGCAGAATGAGATTTCTGTGACACTGCAGAGAGCTGAACCGCAACAGGTGGAGGTGAAGCTAAACCACAGGAACCTATTTACAAATAAAATCATGCAATCAATACGCACACATGTGAGGACGTTAACTTCTGCTCCTGTTGAAGTTAAGTGCATTCATGTTACACGTTAGAATCTGGTCAAACGAGCACATATGTGACCTAAAAATGTCAAAGTAATTTGAATTAGGTTGTAGAGATGAAATACATTTGCACGGTACTTTCACACTGAGTTAATTTTATGGACTTTGTAAACACTAAACTATTGCTTGACAGAGTCGAAACTGAAGGGAGCTAGTACAAAATGGAAGAAGATTATACAGGATAAATTTTGGCATGCACTTTTCGATTTTATGTTGTGACAACGCTGTGGTTAGGTTTAGGGGGGAAAAAATCAGTTAGGGTTTGGCAAACATGGCTTTAAATATCTGGTTTGTTGACACACTGAAAATGTCCCAAACTCTTGGTAAACAGGCTAGGGTTACCCCCCTTTGTTGCTATACACATGACTGGAAATGTCCCAACCTCTGGTTTAAAAAATACTCACTTTAGTTGGTATAAACATAGCTGAAAATATCCTGACTTCTCATTAAAAATACACACTTTTGTAGCTACAAACAGGGGAAATGTCCTGACCTCTTGTTAAAATTACGTGCTTCTGGTGCTACAAACATGGCTGGATATGTCCCAAACTCATGTTAAAAGTATCTGCTTTTGATGCTACAATCAAAGCTGGAAATGTCCCGACCTCTCGTTAAAATTACGTGCTTCTGGTGCTACAAATATGGCTGGATATGTCCCAAACTTTTGTCAGAAAGTACGTGCTTTAGTCTGTAGAAAGGCAGCTGGAAATGTCCCAGCTGTGTTTTTACCTGCTTTTGTAGCTACAAACATGGTCAAAAAATGTCCAAACCTGTCATTAAAAATATGCCTGCTTTTGTAGCTATAAACATGACTGGAAATGTCCCGACCTCTCGTCAAAATTATGTGCTTCTGGTGCTACAAACATGGCTGGATATGTCCCAAACTTCTGTTAAAAAATACCAGCTGTGATGCTACAAACATGGCTGGAAATATCCCAAAATTTTATCACAGAATACTTGCTTTTCTCAGTAGAAACACAGTAGGAAATGTCCCAACCCTTCATTAAAAAGCAGCTATATATGCCCCGACCTTGATTAAAAACATCACTTTTGTTGGTCACTTGACAGCCATCTCACCAGCATCCTCTCCACCTGACTAGAAGCTCACCCCATACAGTATCCTGCACTAAATATGCCCAGAAATGTCTCTGCAACAATAGTCTGTTGAAAACAAAGGTCAACGTAATCAGTTAATTATCTGCTCGTCTAATTAGGCAGAAAGTGTGAAAACACCCGTGTGTGGCCATAATGTGCCCTACTGATGGTAAATAAATCCATGTAACAGTTTTTCATTGTTTTTAAATGACTAAACTGCCACTAATGCATCGATTCACATGTTGAACAGGAGCAAGAAATGTGGCGTTTTCAATATCTACAGTATCTCCCAGTGGCCTCTGGAGACTTGATTAGCTAAATGTGTAAATTGAAAATGACATCAATCAGCAGGAGAGGTCAGGCATATGATAATTAATGCTACTCCTGTGGGTATTATCCTTCTTATCTAGCAAATAAAAAAAAAAAAAAAACAGGAAGCAGCTGCAGAAGAAGAAAAAGACTGCGCTCCTCTCTGATTTCCATCACACTGGGGATTCAGTTTAATTCGCCGACGCTCTGAACTGTCTGTCCACTGGGAACATTTGTAATTCACAGCAACACACAAAAAGCCATGCAAGCGGCCATGTAACCACACACACACATTCTGTCCTGGATTCCTCTTATCGTACCGAGGTCAAAGCTGCAACTTCCAAACCTGCTGTCACATTAATTCACCTCGTGTCTGAGATCCTGCAGAACAACAAAGAAGCTGCTGCTTCATGTACGTGTACGTTTTTGTGTGTTTTAGACCTGTTGATGCCAAATTAAAGAGAAACTAAAATTCTAAACGTCCAGCACGAGACACAAGCATGAACTTGACACTGACTTACACATGTATGCATGCATATTTGATCAAGGTCTACATTTTTAATGTCATTCATAAGATGTAAAGCTGTGCACAATATAGGTATCTGAAGAAAAAGCACAGCTGCAGATAATAAAATGAAAGATGACTTTCTTAATTTTATACATGGATTTCCTTTACACTGCAAAAAATGTCATAGAGATGGCAGAATATTTATTTTCTGTACAAATATTTCTATCTATATGTACATACCAAAGGAACCAGTGGTCTCTTTCTTTTGCCAAAGTAAAATGTTGGCGTTTTAGGTTTGTGCAAATCACAATGTTACATTTGCAAGTTTCATACGTGTCATATCAACATTTCTGAAGTGATGTCGTATATGACCTGACTATTAGGGGTGTAAATCACCAGCTTCATCCCGATACGATATTATATCGATTTGTTTGGATGACGATACGATGTTGTCACAAATGTCACAAAGTCTGTCACGATACGATTTTGATTCGATTCAATTCAGGAGCCTGCGATCGATATGACGTGATATCATATGCCCATCTAACACAATCATTTACATCAGCTCACAAAAACAACTAGAATATGATTTGACCATTTTATTTCTGAGCTCTGTTTGTTGTTTGAGCGGAGGCGCGCTTGCCCAGAAATGGTGACACAGACGTGACATGTGAATTTCAAAATAAATGTGTATCTTTAAGATGACGATATGGATCGATGTTTTCATTTTGCATCGATATAATCAGATCGTTAATCAATGAATCGATGTATCGATGTGGATCAGTGTATAGCTACACCCCTACTGACTATGTCATTGGGAAGTGGAGGAGATGGTGGATGGTGAAACACCTGACAAGCTGCAGACCACAGACAACTGAGACATCACTGCATTTCCTGTCAGGGTCGTGGCTGGAAAAGCAGTTGCTTTTACCAAGACATCGCTGCATTTCCTGCCAGGATAGTGGCTGGAAAAGCGGTTGCTTTTACCAAGACATCACTGCATTTCCTGCCAGGATAGTGGCGGGAAAAGCAGTTGGTTTTTATCGAGACATTGCTACATTTCCTGCTGAGTTACTGGCATGAAAATTGTTTGTTTTTTACTGAGACATCACTGCATTTCCTGCGGGGACAGTGGCCAGAAAAATGGTTATATTTCCTGCCAGGATAGTATCATAAAAGCAGTTGCTTCTACAAAGACATCACTGCATTTCCTGTCGGGATAGTGGCCCAAAAGCGGCCATTTCTACCATGACATTTTCTGCCAAGGTAGTGGCAGAAAGAGTGGTTGTTTTTACAGAGATATTGTTACATTTCACTGCATTTCCTGCCAGGACAGTTCCCAAAAAGCATTTTTTATTTTTTTTACCTACACATTGCTGCATTTCTTGGCAGGATTGTGCCCCCTAAAACTAGTATTTCAGTCACCTATAACAAAGTGTTTTTTGTGCGTAAACCTAACCACACATTAACCCTTTGAAACTGAATTGGCTTAATTTTTTTTTTTTTTTTTTTTCCAAAAACATGGTATGAAGGCATTGAGAAATGTATGAATTGGCCCAAATTAGCAAGATATTAAAACATTGTGACTCTAGTAACTCTAGTAACTAAGAAAATACCCAAATTGAGCCAAAAAGGAAAAGCAGAAAAAAAAGAAAATTACGTGGAAAATAAGTAAAAAAGAAAAGTAAAAAACACACTTTTAAATAGATATTTTTAAATATATTTAATTTTTTTTTATCATTTTCTAATAACACTTTTCTAACTATGCTCATTGCCTTTTCCCCGAGTTTTCTAGAGAAGTCACAACAATTTTTTTTGCTTAAATGTTTAGTCATCTGAACACAGTACAAGAAAAGAGATGTTGATCCAGGTTTCAGTGTATCCACTACATAACAACGTTTGAAGAGCGTGTGTTTATTGCTGTTTTAGTTCATGTGTTGCAGAAATATTAAAACCCACAATGACAGAAGAAAATAAACTGTAAGAGAAATAGATGCTGCTGAGAGGGCTTGTGAAGGCAAACAGGATTTCTTTCAATGTTTGATTTGATTTAACAATTCTGGTGCATCTGCTTTACTTCCAAGCTCTTTCTGCAAGTATGCAATGTTTGACTTTAAATCACCGACTGTTTCGAATTCTGAGCGTCCTCATCAAACTGAACCAGGAGCAGCTGCGTCTCCATTCCCTCCCCACCAACCTCCTGAAACTCATTTGGAGTGAATTTGTGGCTGATTGCAGGGGAGGAAATCACTCGCTGCTGCATTAGAGCACGCAGCTTTCAGGCTTTAAATGTGCATTAATAAAGGAGTGCTAAAAAGTAAAATGTTGATGTCAGAGCATGAAGGTGAGGTTCATGTGAAGGATGCATCAGACAAAAATAAAACATGGAGCAACTTTACACTGGCACAGACAGCAATATTTGGCAATTCCTTTTCATTTATTTTGATGTTTTGAAAAGTCACAAAATGTCTTGAGCTGATTTTTTTTAAATGATCCTGATGATTAACATTCCCAACACCGAGAAGCTCAATGAAAACTAACTGGAATCCCCTGTGTATCACTAATAGAGTAGCTGAAGAGAGGACTCTCCTCTCGGTATTTATGCTTCTCCGCATATTTTACATAACATGATAAGTAATGCATTATTCATGTTGTTTCACTCATATGGGTCACGGCTGAAGATGTAGCCTATTGTTTGCGCAAACCTCATTAGCAATCATGTATGACGAGCCAAGCAGCGTGAAGCACTCATCCATAACACGCTCTGATGGGACACACACACACATATACACACACACAC